AGGATTACAGGTGTGAGCCACCACTGGCACTCGGCTGCATAGATTCTAAATTAATTTTTCCATTTGAAAGCATTTTGGAGTTTTATCTAAACAACACAAAAGAAACATTGAACTTGCTGGTTAATGAGGAGTACTGAGTTCTTTGCTTTGTTATTTTTGTTAGTTTGTGCGTGTGTGTCAGAGTCTCCTGGAGTTGGTAGCCATTCTAGTTCCAGGAATCTGAGGATTTTTCTGGTTTATTCTGCTCTTGGATGACTGAGGTCAGGGAGGATGAGATAGTCTGGAACTGTCAAGTGCTTGCCTTAATACATCCCTCAAGGATTCAAAAGGGCATTCATTCTCATCTCTGTTGGGTGAATGTTTCTAGTCCTGAGTGTTTTACACAATCTATTTTGTAACATACTGTAGACCGTGAATTCTCTTCTGTGGCATCTTGAGTTATATTGGCAGCTTTTATTTTGCATTAACGTTGTTGTCAATTCATGCAGGCTCCCTTCATGTGGGAGATGAGATCCTGGAAATCAATGGCACCAATGTGACTAACCACTCGGTAGATCAGCTGCAGAAGGCAATGGTAAGTACTTATATGCTAGATGAACATTGGGATCAATGTACTTCATTTGTTTGCCAAAGTATGTGTGCCTTATTGAGGGGGGCTGTTATCACTTCTGGCTTCTGTTGTTCTGCGCAAGAAATGACATTTCTCTGCTTTCATTTAGTAAAACTCCAAAGCATCAATGTGGTGTAATAGAAAGAACATTGCACTGGTAGTCAGGAGACCTTGATTTTAGTGGCAGCTCTGAATCCCAGCTTTACTTTATTCTGGCTTTGTGATTTTTAAGCAGGTGAATTAACTTTTCTAAGTCTTTGTTTCCTAATCTGCAAAGTGAAGACAGTAATCCTACTTTTACCTCACAGACCTATTAATGATTGCATCAGTTGGGCACCAGTGGGTTCAGCAAGAAGTTAGGAAATGAGCCAGGCATGCTGGCACATGCCTGTAATTCCAACTACATGGGAGGCAAAGATAGAGAGGATCAGGGATGATAGTTTGAGGCCAACCCACACAAAAAGTTATCAAGACCTCCATCTCAACAAATAAGCTGGTGTGGTAGTATGCACCTTTAATCTCAGCTACATGGGAAGTATAGGTAGGAGGATTGCAGTCCAGGGCCATCCCTGGGCTGAAATGGAAGACGCTATCCAAAACTAACTAAAGCAAAGAAGGGCTGGGGGTGTTGCTCAAGTGGTAGAGTACCTACCTAACAAGCACAAGGCCCTGAGTTCAAATTCCAGTACTGTCCCCCACTCCCCCCAAAAAAAGTTAGAAAATGGGAAAGAGGGGGAGGGGAGAGGAGGGATGGATAGATAGCACACTATTTATGTCCTCTCCTGTAGGTGCAGTTTTCACAAAGATATGTGCATCCTTAAGGGATCCTTTCCTCCCTTGCTGGATCCTTTGAGGATGCACACCTGTGTGAACAGTTACTTCATTAAACTCTCTTCAAACACCCTTTTTGAATGTGTCACCTGTTTCTTACTGGGGTCCTCAGTAATACAGCAGTTAGTATCAGGAGTGACCTCAGCAAACAGGCCCTTAAAATGGGATTCAGAGATTATGGTGCTTGTAAATGAACAAACAAACAAATAGAAAACTGGACCAAACAAATAAGAAAAAGCTTATGACCTGTAAGCTTTTGAAAAGATTACTCATCCATTGCCTTGTTCACAATAGTCGGGATATGGAATCAAAGATTCGATGGTAAAGAAAACGTGGTGCATATGCACAGTGGCACTTATAGATGAATCAGGAAGACATTATCGGAAATAAGCTAGGCATAACAAGCTAAGCACCAGGTAGACTCCTTTATATGTGCAATCTAAACAGCTGAACTCACAGAAGTAGAGAGTAAGGGCTGGAGCTGGTGGCAATAGAGAGATACTGGCCAAAGAATACAACATTCCGTGCAGATAGGAGGAATAAATTTAAGAGCTCTATTGTACAACATGGTAACTAAAGTAGCAATGAACTGTATGCTTGAAAATTCCTAAGAGAATACATTTTAAGTTTTCTCACCATAATAATAAGTATATGAGGTAATGCATGTGCTAATTAGTGCTAGTCATTCCATAGTATATACATGTTTCAGAAACATTGTAAATGGTAAATGTATACAACTGTCAAACAAATGGGGGTTGGGGAGAGAGAGAGGGAGAGAGGAAGGGAGGGGAAAGGAGAGGAGAGGAAGAAAGAAAAAGAAAATTGGTTTTCACTTTTATTGAAACAAAATTATGAAATACTTTCCACCAATCAGATTGACAAAAATTGAAAAGGAATGTTGCTATACAATTCTGGCAATTTGGTGGGAAAGGACTCTCATATGCTCCTGTTGGGAGTGGAATTGTTATAATCTTTTGGAAAAGTAAACTGTGATGCATCCATACTGTGGAAACCTATGAATAAATGAGATCTTTCTACCCTGACCTAAAAGTATGTCCCTGAAGTGATTTCAAATAAAATAAGTAATAGAGTAATATATACAGTATAATCCCATTATTGTTAAAAACAAACATACATATATATATATGTATCTATGAACGTAAATATTTGTAATGCTTTCGTTGGTGTGGAGAAAGGTGTGGATATATTTGTGCTGGGGTTAATTTTAGGGATTTCTGGGGAACTTTGTGGGTCAAGAGTAGCTTTTGCTTCAGTATTCTTCATATGTCTTCATATCGTTTTGCTGGTTTATGGGGCACATGACACTTGTGTTACAGAAGGTGTGGTCTTACAAAATCTCAAAATGTAAAGATGGCTGTGGGGTGAAAAAAACTGATTTTATAGAACTCCAAATTACCCAAGTGAGTTTTCCTCACAATTTCATTTCTTCTTCTCTTTTCAATAGAAAGAAACCAAAGGAATAATCTCATTGAAAGTAATTCCCAATCAGCAAAGTCGTCTTCCTGCACTGCAGGTAGGGGCAACATTTCCTCTGTCATATTATCTTGTGTTCTTTGAGATTTGATTATAAGTGATACGGTTCTAACTTTAAGTCCTAAATATCTCACAGGTGTGAAACCACTTGACTCAGGGTCTCGTTATACACTGCCTGGTGCTTTATAAACTAAATGATATATTTCTTTGAGGCAGTTTAGTGATGAGAGTAGTAGAAAATCAGGCAGCAACATGACCATAGGCCTAGTCATGGGCCATTGCTGCCAGGGCTTGGATATGAAGTTCAGTGGTTAATAGTGGTAAACTAAAGAGGAGACGACAGTTTTTTAAACACATAAAAATTTGAGAGTCTACCATGTATAAATCACTTTGGAACATGGAGATCATTTGAACAGAAATGGTACATTCCAAGTGCACACACACCTTATCAGTTAAGGAGGTTGGACAGGGCCTTGGGACATGAATATGGAAGAAGGAATTTAAAAATTTCAAATCTAAAGTTTCTGTCATAGGTCACCTATGCTGTGAAGGTATAATCTTTTTTTTTTTTTTTGAGCAGTACTGGAGTTTGAACTCAGGGCTTCATGCTTGCTAGGCAGGCACTCTACTGCTTGAGCCATGCCTTCAGCCCGTTTTGCTCTGGTTATTTTAGAGATAGGTTCTTATTTTTTGCACAGGATGATGTGGAGCTTAGTCCTCTTATTTATGCTTCCTGCAGTAGCTAAGATGACAGGTACATACCACCACACCCAGCTTTTTTTGTTGAGATGAGAGCTTGCAAACTTTTTGCCCTGAGTGGCCTGAAACCACAATCCTCCCAACCTCAGCCTCCCAAAGTAGCTAGGGAGCCATCAGTACCCAGTAGGTAGAATCTTTTAAAGACAACTTTTAAGTTGATGTTTTCTTATATGTGGGCATATATACAGCAAAGTACACAAATCGTAAGTATAAAACTGGTTGAATTTTCACAAACTGAGCATATCCACGTAACCAGCATCCAGCTGGTTCCTTGTAGCACTAGATGATTCGATCTCATTGATTCAGTATATGAATATGCTACAATTATTCATCCATTCTGCTGTCAATGGACTTTTTGGTTTCCAGCTTTTTTACTCTTAATAAATGCCATGGACCCTCTCGGATGTATGTTTTTTGGTGCACATATCTATGCCCTTTTGTTGGGTATAGAATTGCTGGGTTTTAGGGTCCATCTTTAGGGAATATTGCCAAGTAGTTTTCCAAAGTAGTTGTATCATTTTATATTCCCAACTGCACTTTTATGACATTTCCAGTGGTTCCATATCCTCACAAAGATTTAGAATTATCTGGTTTTGTTTGTTTGTTTGTTTGTTTATTCATTTAGGCCATTCCAGTGGTACTACCACATTGTGATTTTAATTTTTCTTTGATAGTTTAAGAGGGTAAATTCCTTTTATATATTTTTTCCACTTGAATATCCTCTTTTGTAAAGTATCAGTTCTTTTTCTTTTCTTATCAATTTATAAGAGTCCCTCATATATTCTGGGTAAGAGTCCTTTGTCATATGTATCCCAGATATAGTCTCTTTTGTGGTGCTAATTAATAACTAGAAACTCTTAATTTAATAAAGTCTGATCTACCATCTTTTTTCTTTTATGATTAGTACTTTCTGAGTATTTAAAATTTTAACCACAAGGCCAAAAAGATACTCTATTTTCTTCTAAAACCCATCTGGAATTGATTTTTATGTAGTGTATTGTAAAGTAAGAGGTCAAGAGTCCAATTTTTCCATATGGATATCAGTGGACCTAGCACTATTTACTGGAACAACCATCCTGTCCCTATTATGTGCACCATCACCTTTATCATAAGTCACATATATAGATCTATTTGAGAACTCTTGTTTTCTATTGTGCTGTCTATTATTTACCCCTGCATTAAATCTGCGTGTCATTTTGGGAAGAAGAGATATCTTCACAATATCCCAATAGAAGTGGTGAGAGATTTCTCAATCTTAAAGAGAAAGCTTTTAGTATTTCACCGTGAAGTGTGGTATTGGCTACAGGGTTTTCTAGAAAAATGGAGAAAAATTGTATGATCGTCTCACTGGATGCAGAAAAAAACATTTGATAAAATTCAAAGCCCATTCATCATTTTTCTGTTAATGTGACTTTATTGCCCATTAGAATAGCAAAGCTTGTGTTGTTGTACTAGATAGATCCCATTTGATTGTGATTTATTATTTTTTTTATACATTGCCGCATTTATTTGTTAATGCTTTATTTTGGGTTTTTACATCTCTGCTACTGAGAGAGATTGTAAGATTCTTGTCCAATTTTGGTATCATGGTTATGCTGGACTTATAAAATGAGTTGGGAAGTGCCATCATTTTCTGTTATTTGTATTTGTGTGAGATTACCTGTATTTCTTCAAATAATGTTTAGAAATTTTACTATCAGAGATGTGTGTGTGTTTCAGTGGTGGGGAGTAGAATTTTCAATAATGGGTTCGAAATTTTTTTTGTGGTACTGAGGATCGAACCCAGGGCCTTGTTCATGCTAGGCAAGTACTTAACCACTGAGCTATAATATCACCAGCCCAAATTCTTTAATAGGTATATGTGTTCATATTTCTAATTTATTGTTTCATCACTTTTGGCAAATAGGGATTTTCAGTGAATTTGTCAGATATATTGCTGTGAAATTGTTCCTAATATCCTCTTACAACCTTTAAAATACCTCTAGCATAGTTTGTTCTAGGATTTTTTCTATGCATAATTATTTTTTATTTTGAGCATAGTAGGTATTGTTTTTGTTTAATGATATGCTCATTTACAAGGGCATTAAATATTCCACACATTGACTTTTCTGGTTATATAATAATATATGCAGTACATGACTGTAGTTAACCAGCTCCCTATTCTTAGAAAATGAGGTTTTTTTCAATAATTCACTCCTATAAATAATGCCATGATGAATATACTTATCAAAACATCATTACTGACAGCTCTGTTTTGTGTTAGATAAATGCACAGAAGTACATTGTAGGGCCAGAGGTACCAATATTTGAAGACTTTGGGCTCATTCATATTGCTACACTGTCTTCCAGAAAAAGTTTACCAAGTTTATTTAACATACGCGTGAAATTATTTTGTCAAGTAGAGACATACTCAGATCCAGTAATTGGAAACACGTTGACCAACCCAAAAAGGCGTTTCGTGCATTTGTTAAAAGGGACAGTTCTGATCCTTCTGCAAACACAATAAGCAGTGCCAAGCACTTCAGCATTCCAGTTCCCTGCTCTTGGGTGCTTCACCATTCTCCTCCCTGTTGCTCATTCCCTATTTACTTAGAGCAGGACTTTCTATGGACGTGCTGTGATGCGGGTGTTTCTTGAGCCTGCAGTTCCCTTTGCCTTGTTTTTTCAGATGTTCATGAGAGCACAGTTTGACTATGATCCCAAGAAGGACAATCTGATCCCTTGCAAGGAGGCAGGGCTGAAGTTTGTTACTGGAGACATTATCCAGATCATCAACAAGGATGACAGCAACTGGTGGCAGGGGCGGGTGGAAGGTTCCTCCAAGCAGTCAGCAGGATTGATCCCCTCCCCTGAGCTGCAGGAATGGTGAGTCACTTTGCACAAGTGGATTTTGCAGCTGGAAAGGGCCTGTGCCTGCTACACTCACTTTACTCACAAAGTCTGTGCTACTTCCTCACTTTTCTGGCATTCGAGATGAGGGAGAGTGCACAAGGAGTTGATATGTTCGATTGACAGTCCGTGTGTTACAGGTAAAAGAGTCTTATGTGGGCCTCTCTTTCTTCAAATGATTTCCTCATAGTCATAAAGCCCACCCTGGTCTCCTGTATCCCTTCTACTACTCTGAGCCATTTCTGGGAAGACACAGAAGAAATGATTCCTGTCCTTGAGTCAGATTGCTCATATAGTGGTAGGAGAGGTAGAAAAATCCATATCCACTGTTGAACCCCCCTCTGCCTCTGCAAAATAAGCCTACTGTAAAGATCGCAATGTAAAGAAGTGTTATTTCATATACCAGTCTTGTAGTTCTAAGCCAGTTCTGGTCGATCACAACTCTAGTGATGATACAGTGGAAGGGAAGTTATAAACATGCCGCTGAACCACAGGATATGCTTTGTAGAAACAATACTTTAGCATTAGAGCAACAGAAGAAATACAGTGCAGACCCTGGATATATTGATCAAGGTCTTGAGCATGTTTTATCTGGCTTCTAGGCCATTTTCAGAACTAACACCTGGTAGAGAACATTGCAAGATCAGGAATGGCAGATGGCTGAGAAAGGCCCCAGGAGAATAAAACTGAAACTGTATACCATGACTTATTAATGAAGCATGAAATCAATTTAGTGAACTGCAACAAGTATTTCTTTTTTAAAAAAATGACATGGAGGCTGGCCATAGCTCAAGCCTGTAATCCTAGCTACTCTGGAAGCAGATATTGGGAGGATTATGGTTTGAGGCTAGTCCAGGCAAAAAGTTCATGAGACCTCATCTCAACCAATAGCTGGATATTTTGGTGTGTGCCTGTCATCCCAGATATATGGGAAGTATAATTAGGAGGATTGCAGTCCAGGCCAGCTTGAACATAAATGTGAGACCCTATGTCAAAAATAACCAAATCAAAAAAGAGCTGGGTGTTGGGTGCCAGTAGCTCATGCCTATAATCCTAGCTACTTTTAGGTTGACATCAGAAGGATCACAGTTTGAGGCCAGCCCAAGCAAATACCTTGCAAAACCCTATCTCCAAAATAACCAGAGCAAAAACTCTCCCTGGAGGCGTGGCTCAAGTGGTAGAGTGCCTGCTTTGTGAGTGTGAAGCCCTGAGTTCAAACCCCAGTCCCACCAAAAAATAAAAATGGGTGGGAGATATGGTTCAAGTGGTAGAGTGCCTGTGTACCAAGTTTGAGGCCCTGAATTCAAGACCAAAAACTGTCCCATCCAAAATGACATGGAAGGTCTGGCATGCTGGTGTATGCTTATAATCCCAACACTCAGCAGAGTAAGTCAGGAGGATATGGAATTCAAAGCCAGCCTGGGCTTACCATAGTGAGACCCTATCTCAAAAAATCATGGCTGACCTCCCAGGGCTTACCTCAGAGGTGGAAGAAGCCCAGTCAGAATAGTCAAGCTATACTGAGGGAAGAATATGATGTGAGTTTGTTTCCTCCTGAAACATTTCCGCTGCTAGGTACTTCTCCTCTCCAGAGAGGAGAAGGAAGGGAGGTGGATGAGCCCTGGGTGGCCACCCCTAATGAAATTTTTGCAAAGTGGAAGAAGTGAATCTGTCTGGAAGTTTAGTATAGAAAGGAAAGTTACATGACAGGTGGCTTTCCTACTGAGGACCCACTGACCCTTTTGTCATCTGTTCCTCCCAGGCGAGTAGCGAGTGTGGCTCAGTCTGCTCCGAGTGAAGCTCCAAGCTGCAGTCCCTTTGGGAAGAAAAAGAAGTACAAAGACAAGTACCTGGCCAAGCACAGTGCAAGTAAGCTTCCTGGGCCCCTCACTCCAGGCTCCTCGCAGCATTAGTGTGTTTCTTGGCCTCTTTACCTAGCAGAAGAGGGGAGATGGTTCAGTGTGCAGTGGAACATAATTACACAGAAAGCATGCCAATTCTTCTGGTTTCTCTTACTCAACTCATCTTCGTAAGGTCACTGCAATCAGGGAGGTGATGCCAGTACATGTAAAGGAAAGATAGTGGTCTGTCCACACCTCATTCCTCAGGTAACCAAGTGAAGAGCCTTCCAGTCATTTCTCTGTGCTCACCGTTTACTCAGTTTGTCAACAGTTTCAGCATGACCTGGCAGAAAGGTCTGAGTAACCCAAATAATATCCTTTTTTCCTGAGAACTGACAATTCTGCCTTTCTTTTTACCAGTGTTGAAAATCTAACACAGTCATCCTCAGTATCTGCAGATGATTGCTCCGTCACCCGTGCATACCAGAATCCCTCAGAAAATGGTGTGCACTTTAAATGATCTCTAGATTGCTTACAACCCTGAATACAAGGCAAATATGATGTAAATAGTGGTTGTGCTATTTACAATAGCACAATAGAACAATGACAAGAAAAATATTTGTTCATGTTCAGTACTCATGCAGTGTTTTTCAAACATTTTTTGTTTGAAAAATGTTTGAAAATTTTCCATGATTGGCTGAATCTGAGATGCAGATGACAAAGGAATAATAACCTACCATTCAACTACCATCTATTAAATGTTTCCATCCTGTGGGGAGCGTTCTGGACAGAGACAAGCGCATGAGCAAATCATAGAACGCAAAGTCATCTGGCATGTCAGGAGCTTACACAGAAGTACATGTAGCTGAAGCATCTGTTTCACGAAGGAGGAGGAGTGGAGAGCTGGACACAGAACCACATTTCCATCTTTTTATTTCTTTATTCATTTATCCTTATGTGCATACATTGCCATGTTTCCTTCTTGAGCAGCTGCATCAATGTGCCACAGTTCCGTAAGGTCAGGGACATTTTAGGCAGTACAGAGATAGTGTTGGTATTGTTGAGTTCTAAGTCTGTATCTACATTGCATGTCTTAGGGAGCTGGAACCAAAAGGAGCATCTGTGTTGAAAACGGAGAGCCATGAGTTTACTGAAACTATGGAAAAGAGAATTATAGCAGACTAGAAATGTCAGCTCAGATAGAGGAAGGAGGAGAGAGCATAGAGTTTAAAATCTTAGGAAAAAATGGAGTCCAAATAACTGGCTGACAGAGCCATCAAGAGTTTAGATGGACAGTGTTGGGAAAAGCAAATGAATACGCCAGTCTGCAATACAGAATTAGTTTACTCTGACATTCTTTTCTTCATCATTCTTTTTCAGTACTTCCAATACTTGTCTTAGACAGTGTCCAAGCATATCTGACTGGGCACAGCCTTCAACATTCCTCAGTAAATTTTGATACAGTTCAGTTCCTCCACAAGATAAACAGTGAGGCTGGAATTGGGCTGGAGCTGGGGGTGGTGGCTACTGCTTAGATCCGGCCTTTGCAGTCAGGGTATCCTTTCAAAATCTAAATGGGATCATGTCAGCCTCTTACTCAAAACTTCCTCACCACACTAAAAATAAGTACAGTCCAAAGCACCCCCGCCACCCCCAACATACACTGATCCTCCTGGCCTCATTTCCTGCAGTCTTTCCTTCCCTGCATTCTTTTTTCTGAGACAGGGTCTCACTCTAACCCAGGCTGGCTTCAAACTCGCAATTCTCCTGCCTAAGTCTCTGGAGTGCTGGAATTCTGTAATACCACATGCCATCACACCTGGCTCTTGTCCCTGCTTGATTGTCAGCTTCTTAAACCCTGGCCCGTGCTTCCCACTCCAGTTCTGGAAATGAATATTGCCTGGTTTTCTTTGTTTCTAGTTTTCGACCAGTTGGATGTTGTTTCCTATGAGGAAGTTGTTCGGCTCCCTGCATTCAAGAGGAAGACCCTGGTGCTGATCGGTATCTTCACTGCCCCACGCTGCTTTGAACTATCAATTATGTCCTTAGTTTCCTGCCTGTATAATATACCCACCCCCAAAAAAGGCAGTGAGGAAGAAATGAAGTGAAGTCACTTAGTTCTTCATATAGGGCAGTTACAAAGAATTTTCTGGGTCCTAAAGTACTCCATCTACATCTGCCTCACAAGTGAAATTAAATCTTTTAAGTTTTTTTTTTTTTTCCTACTACTTAGGAACTAATTCTTTTATGTTGGGTTTCATCTCAAACCTCGTTGTCCACCTGTCTGGCTAGCAGTTGGAGTGTGCCAGTGATAATGCTTTTTAAAGTGTATGTTAAGAGTGCTTTGAGCCCGGCACCTGTGGCTCACACCTGTAATCCTAGCTACTCAGGAGGCAGAGATCAGGAGGATCATGGTTCAAAGCCAGCCCAGGCAAATAGTTCTCGAGACCCTATCCCAAAAAACCCCTCACAAAAATAGGGCTGGTGGAGTGGCTCAAGATGAAGGTCCTGAGTTCAAGCCCCAATACTGCAAAGAAAAATAAAGAGTGTTTTGGTAGTACAGTGGTGATCCTCAAAAGTACTCTAAGCTCTTATGAGCCCCAAAAGCTCCTTTCCCCCAAGGGTCTTTGACCCGAAACGGAATGAATCCTTGCTTCAAACCCAGGTACAGAGACCTTGGTGATGATGGGTGGCACCCTTTCCTGTTCTTAGAGTTGAGATATTGATTGGCTAGAGGATCTGTATTAGAATTCTGGTGAAATTTCCAGTAAAAAACACAAACTTAAATTCCATTAACTTTGGAGAGCTTAGAAAAGTTAATATACTTACAAAATAAACAGAAAGCCTCATGTTACATAGTTCCTCTGTGGAAATCAGAGTTATGTTCTGAGTCCTTGACCCTTGGCACTTAGAAAGAGCCCTTCTCCTCCCTCAAGTGGATATTAAAGGATCTGAAGCCAGTTGGTGGCCCCAAATCTCTGACAGCTCAAAGGCCCAAGCCCAGCTGATACAGCATCAACCCGTTTTCACCTGTTGGCAGTTTTGAGCATGAGAGATGAAAATTCACATGCCATCACTGCCTTTGTCATTGGGGAAAAGTGATGGAAGCCTTTATTCTCTCCTCACACAGGAGCCAGTGGGGTGGGTCGCAGCCACATTAAGAATGCCCTGCTCAGCCAGAATCCAGAGAAGTTTGTGTACCCTGCCCCATGTAAGTAGCCCTTGGGCACCTTGGAGGGGAAGTGAGAGCCTGAAGGATGTGGAATTAATGTTCCATCTGTATTTCACTTAGTACCACTCTGTCTAAGATGCCACATTTTTTTTGTTGTTTTATTTAAAACTTTTGATTATTAAAAATTCAGAAAGATAGAAATGTGTACACACAATTGCTTCAAATAATGAGGTAATTTATTTTCTTATTCTCTTCTACATAACAGAAGTTGTAGGAAACTTTATCCTGCTTAAAAAATTATTAAGCAGAAACTAAAATGTATGCATATTATTTATTTTGCTTTATAAACACTTTCTCATAGTCCTCTACAGTCTGCCTAATTCACTCTGAGAAGTATTTTGTAGTCCAGTGATATACTATAATTTGTATATTATATGCACTATTATTTCCTTGTCTTTCTCACTGTCATTTGACATGTATGCAATGTCTTGTAAATCCAAGTAGTGCTTAGAAAAGGCCCGAGTCATCGGTGGCAGTCCTACATAGGAAAGGGCCAGTGGTCAGACATGCGATTAGATAACTGTTCTCTTCCTAAAAGTGAATCTGAACAGTGCAGAAAGAGATCCAAATTGGAAAACCAGATTGTGAACACGATGCTAGTTTTTTTTCCATTCTTCTCTGTTTGCCTCTTTTACACAAGGATCACTGAGAGTTGTTCACGGGGAACAGAAAGCAGATGGTCTTGGGTTAAGGAGTGAGTGGAAGTAGAAATAACCAGGAGAATATGATACATGAAGATAACATCAGGTCAAAGGAGAGTTGTTTACAGACTCATGCAGTTGTAAGTTGAGGGGAAGAAGCCAGTTGACAGACAAGTGGATACTATGAGAAGGTAAAGATGTTCAGTGAAAGATAAAAAGGAGAGGTTGTGTTTCAGGCTAAAATATCTGGAGTATATTTCCCTTATTAGAAAATTTACATGAGTAATAGAAAATGTGACTCTTAAGAACATTATAACATTTTAACAATATGAGTTTAAACCAAGGCAAAATACTCTTCTTCCCAAGTCATGAAAAGGGAACATAAATATTGCTTCCAGGAAATCATGACTATGGCCCTAGTTCTTTTTTTCCTTTCCTTTCCTTTTTTTGGTGGTACTGGGGTTAGAACCTAGGGCTTCCAGCTTGCTAGGCACTGTATCATTGAGACACACCTCCAGCTCCCATAGATTTATTTTTAAAATATTTTTTACATGTCATCATTTCTGAGATTCAATATTTCTGGGTTTGGTGGTTTGAGAGGTGCAACTTCATATAGGGAAAATGATGCAAATTTTCTACAGTGGGCTTTGCCTTTTGAAACCTAAATATGTTCCGGGCAGGTGAGGGATTTCCTCATGTACACTGCCTCTTAGCATCAGCCCTTCAGGAGCCCATGGGAAGAGAACCCCTGTATTATATTCTGCCCAAAGGCATGTAGGGATTCCACACAGACACCTTGGGCCAGAGCTCATCAACGACCTGGGTTCTTGTACACAGATACAACACGGCCACCAAGGAAAAGTGAAGAAGATGGGAAGGAATACCACTTCATCTCAACAGAGGAGATGACGAAAAACATCTCTGCCAATGAGTTCTTGGAGTTTGGCAGCTACCAAGGCAACATGTTTGGCACCAAATTTGAAACCGTGCACCAGATTCACAAGCAGGACAAGATTGCCATTCTTGATATTGAGCCCCAGGTGGGTAGGCATGGAAACGCAGGAGTGATGAGCTCAGCCATTCAACAGATAAAGGGGCTGATGAAAAAGCAAAGCTCCTGGGAATCTTCTGGGAGCTCAGGGTTGCTTCACATACCTTCAGTGGGGTCAGCCTGGAGCAACAACACTAGTATTGGGATTGGGAAGCCCAAAGCTACTTAGGAGGAGGAATTCATTGTGACAGCTATTTTTTTTCCTTTTCTTCCTTCCTCTTTCCTTTTTCTAGACCCTGAAGATTGTTCGGACAGCGGAACTTTCACCTTTCATTGTGTTCATCGCACCTACTGACCAGGGCACTCAGGTGGGGAGGAGGGGGTGTTGCTGATTGGGTGGGAGTTCAGTCTGGGTCAGTGGCCAGCTGTGCTTCCTCTAAGGTCAAGAAGACAAAATGTATACCGTACTCATTCGAGACAGTTATTAAACAACTAGCTAGACCACCCATGTTAAGTAATGGGGACAAAACAAATTAGAGCTAGGCATTGGAATATGAGCGCAGTAGCAGAGATGGACAGTTGAAGCCAAGCATGGTGGTACACACTTATAATCCCAGCCCTTGGAAGGCTGAAGCAGGAGGATGTTGACTTAGAGGTCAGCCTAGTCTACATAATGGGTTCCGAGCCAGTCTAGGTAGGCTACAGGGCTACATTAACGAGAAAAAAAACAGATGGACAGTTGAGCAAATACTCACACAGGTGTGATGTGGGCTTAGGTTGGGCAAGCAGAGGGAACTGTGAAAGACAGAGGTGGCTCTGAACGCACCCCTGGGTAGAATATGGCAAAGAGAAAGGCCTATTTCCCTTTGTCTAGAGCATATTTGCCCATTTTCTTCCTTTTTTGCCAATCTAATAGAAGGAAAAATATTTTTCCATACTATTAGGAGCCATTTGTATTGCCTTTTCTATCCAGCTATGTCCTTAGCCCATCTTTCCATTGAGTTACTGGGCCTCTTTCATACTCATTTCCAGGAACTCTATATTAGCATTATTAGCCCTTTGCAATATCACTTGCAAATATTTTTACCCCAATTTAGCATGTCTTAACTATGCAGACACTTTTACCTTTTTATAGTTAAGTGGTAATCCTTTCATGGCTGCTTGATTTGGGCGTCAGAGACCTGGGGTTGCAACCCTACATGGCTCTTCCACATGCAAAGCACGCAACTGGGAGATGCTGGGTTAGTTGAGACTATGAGATTTGCAGTGTTCCTGATTGATTGCCTGTCAGGTGATGAATGTCTTCAGTTTGCGCCTTTAAGTAGGAGGGCTGGGGACGTAGCTTAGTGGTGAGCACTTGCCTACCTCATACCAGGCCCCGAGTTTGACCTCCAACATAGGGAAAATAAATAAAGATGGCAATAGGGAGCTAGGTAATGCTAACAGCACTCAATGCCTACTTAAAACCCCTTGGTTTCTCTAGGGTTGGGGGCACAGGGGTGTTGCAGTCCATTCATGGCTTTCTTCTTTGCAGACTGAAGCCCTGCAGCAGCTGCAAAAGGACTCTGAGGCCATCCGCAATCAGTATGCTCACTACTTTGACCTCTCACTGGTGAATAATGGTGTTGATGAAACTCTTAAGAAACTGCAAGAAGCCTTTGACCAGGCATGTAGTTCTCCACAGTGGGTACCTGTCTCCTGGGTTTACTAAGTTCGCAGAATGGGGAAACTCACTGTATATCCCTTTGCCACATTTGGAATGCTATTTCCCTTGCTTTAAATCAAACGGCTGTTTCAACTAGTTGTGTCAGCTTCCAGCTCTCTCTAGCTGTCCTAAAGAAGTCAATAGGATTCAGTCTTCTTGCTCAGGCTCCTGAAGGGCTGGAGTTTGGTTTTCCCCATAGATGGGGCCCTACTGATCTGAATTTCTAAAGAACCTTTGGAAACTGAGGGCAACTGCTCATCAGAGATGATGCACAGATAAAACAATGGTACCTGTCCCTCTGAGGCCTGAGCTCCTTCGCCTTCAACTATACTCGGCATCTTTTCATGTCTTTTTACTTTGGATTGAATATCTTCTGCAACTTTTTAAAATGCCAAAATGAAAGAGCTGTGCAATACATGTCTGCTCTAGGGAATCCCTCAAAAGCAATAAAAATGCTGCTGTGTTAAAATGCAGATATCCTTGTTAAGTTTCTGGGTTTCCATCTGTGCCATAAACCTCTACAAAGTATCACCCGCTTCTGGTGCCCACATAAAGCTCAAAGTTGTCGTCTCTGGGTAGGAGCCCATGGTAGGCATACATTTCAAGAGAAGAAAACCCAGCCTGGGGAAGCAGAGGTGAGATGTGCCACTGTCAGGATACACTCTGTGCTTACCTGGCTCACCACACGGCTACAGCTCAGGGCCTCTATTTACTGCACCCTGAGACTTACCCACAAACTTCTGCTTGTTATTTTCTTGGTTTTTGGCACTAACAAACAACAACCATGTCACCAAAGCTTTCAGAGTGAGTCCTCAACATCCCCACCCCCAGTTTTCCAGAACTGGCAGCTTCAGCAGGCTCCCAACAAGTCAAAAAGTCCAGACATGTCTGCAGGTACATACTGCTCCAGACACCCTCATACCCAGGCCCACTACTTAACACATCTGTCTTTCTTAGTTCTTCGGGAGAAGACACTGGATTTATGATGAAACACCCGACCACCAAAGCATTTGCGCCCAGGTGACTGACAGGCCCCAAGGAGAATGTTTGTTTTAAGATGCAGAATCAGAGAAATTTAAAATTAGTCAAACATAAAGAAAAAGCAAATTTCAAGTAGGACATGAACGTCCACAGACTTTTAATGAAAATATTTTATATTTTTTTCTCTGCCAGTTTGAGATCAATAACAATTAGAAAATCCAACAGGAATACTTTAAAAACTTCATGAGTCAACTTTAATAAGTAAAAATTACAACATTCTAATCCCAGCAATGAGCAGATTCTTTCTTCAAAGTAAATGAAGGTTAAAACACGAATGTACAGAAACAGTTCAGCTCCCCTCACAAACACAAGTAGCAGATGGATTAGAATAAATGCTGTACACATAAACTTTGCAGAAGTACACAAAGGATTGACAACTAGGCCAAAAACAAGACACACCACAAGGCAATAGAGGTCCATACCTGATACCAGACTAGACCACTGTCCTCACAGGACATTGAAAACAAGATTTCCCCAGTGAACAATGTGGTTCAGTTATACCTTTTAATTTATTGAGGTTTCTACACTTACTTCATTGGACAGATTTAATTTTTTAAAAATTTTTAAACAGGGTAAAAAAAAAAAAAAAAGCAAAACCAGGAGAGGACTATGGGGTTGCTTAAAATGGCCATTAGGAAATAGCTGCAAACAGTTACTAGGCAGTACTGGGTCTGAAGGTGAGGCTTCCCAACTCAAGCAGAAAAGTTGGTGGCATAAAACCTGCCTCTTTCATCACCCACATCCTTAAAACAGGACAAGATGGGATGACCACACCAGGTAACATCACCGAGGTCTCAAGTAGCAGCAAAGCGTGCCTGAACTCTCTACCCTGTTAGGGACCTCTGTTTCACTCCCTCAACAACAAAAAAACTTTTAACGATAAGGCTTTCATTTCTCCTCCCAGCTGGACACAATGCTTTTAAAGCATCCTTTACTACTCAGACACCACTTCTACCACTTTTGCTTTCTTCTTCTTCTTCTTCTTTTTGGTGTTGTCACTGTCCTAGAGAGAAGAAAGAAGGGTCATCACAGCTTCCATTACCAAGACTATGACTCCCAGAAGGGAATCTGGTAAATTGTACTGTTAACCTTTACATGATCTATAAGGAAATTTTGGGTTAAATAATTTTTGCATGTGACATGAAGTTCTATGAGCTTTCCAGTGAAGTTCTAAAGGTCTACTTTCTCACAGTAAGGACATTGAGAAAATCAAGCTGCACATCCCCCCCCCACCAGCCAACAATAGAATATCACTCAAACTATGAGCCATCACTGTAAAATGCTAGGTGCCCCTATCTGTCCATCCCAAGGAGCTGGACAAGGACACTCCAGAACACAGGGAAGCACCCTGCTCTCAGGCCACAGTTCCTCCAAGAGTAACAAAGTCAGCACCATCCAGCTAATTCTTTCCACAGCCACAGACTAAATAAGCCAGCCCTTCAAGGACCCCGTATTTATATGAACCTCATCTCCAGGCTCGCCTCCACTCTCTTGCATAGCTTTGGCCTTCTTGTCCTTCTTATTCTTCTTCTTTTCCTTCTTGGTCAACTGGGGAGCTGCTGGAGGGGCCTCATCACTTTCACTCTCACTCTCTCGCTTCCGCTGTGGTGAAAACAAAAGGTCAATAGTCAGCTCTTGGGCAATAAATAATGGACAAGAAGCATTCATTATGTCATGGGTTTGACCCCTAAAACTGCAAAACAACAACAACAAAAACATCAAGAAAGATCCCAACTGAATCCCCAACAAAAACTTTTCCATTTACAAACCCTGACCGCACCAAAATTTGTTCCAGGTTTGAAGATAGTCTCATCCTAAAAGTCTAGAAAGCCATGGGGCATAACAGAGTGCCACAACAGCAGCAAGGGGGATTGACAAAAACACAAAGCTCTGAGAAGCTATTTCAGCTATTTCTCTCATGGAGAATGGACTTACAAGTACCCCCATAAATCCTCAGAGAAAGCAGGCAAAGCCAGAATTCACATTTGACAAGTCAGAAGTTTGGTCCACACAGTTTGTTACAGGTCACTCAGTACTACCCAAGCATTCTGAGTGCAGACATGCCATTCTGGACTCCAGTGCTGGTGGTCCTCAGTCCTGGGAAGCTAAGCTGCCAGTACATGCTTTACTCTGACCCTTTGAACACTCAGCTGGTCTCTGGAAATTCTTTCTGAACTTCATATCCTCTGATTTCAACACACCTGTGCTACTACCACTTGACCCACAATGTATGACACCCATTCTATCCTGCTGTTATTGCCATAGCTGAGGTGGCAGCCAGATTCTTGAATCTACACTCTCTTGGGAAGATATGACAGGAAACATGAGTCAGAGGAGCCCACAGAACCCAAATAAATACCCCAAGGTCTGAGACACTATCTGTATGTGCACCACAGCAAAGATGACCTGCTGTTCTAAGACAAGATACATAGGTGAACTGTAGATAAATCAAATACTGGTACTTCTTAGAAATGTCTCCTGAAGCACATTTGAAACAGATCACCGCATGCCACTCACCTTTGGGACTTTTACTGCTTCAGCAACTACTTGTGGGACTTTTGCCACTTCGGCAACTAACTTTAATGCTTCAGTAACTTCTCTCTTGCCAGAATCACTAAAGAGGAAAGGTAGTGAAGTCATATTCATTGAACAGCTTTCTGTAGCACTTCTGCCATATCCCTTTATTCAACAGTATCACAAGGTTAAAGCTACCATTAAAATACTGACACTGGACAGAAAAGCGTGCATGCCAAACTAGAAAAGAATAACTATAGGCCTGACCATACCGGGCCCAGACATTGCAGAGCACAGCAAGAAAAACTGACTTGCAGCACTGGGTCCTATGGCCTGGCATTTAAAATGGCTGCACAAAATAAGCCTATTCCCCTTCTCCAGTCTCTGCAACCTCCTGTTCTCATCTGTTGCCAATATCCAAATGGCAAGTGCAGTATCTCTACGTCACTTCCTGAAAAATCCTGCCCTCACCTGTAGTCAACATACTCCTGCTTCCATGTGGCAGGGGTACTGTCCGTGGGTTTGCCATGCTTGTCCAGAAGGCCCTGTTTTATCATCAGCTTTTTCTGACTTGCCTGGTGAAACATGAGGGTTTCAATATCAGAAAGGCGTCAGTGCAGGAAGAAGGCCATTATGATCACACACTGGACAGCACAAGGCTTCTTCTTTGTGTGTTCTCGGCAGGGCCCCACACTCCTCCCCCATCACCACATGATCTAACCCACTCCTCACACGAGCTTAAGAGATTTCCTTGCTCAGACACCCTGACAAGGTTAAACTCCTCATTGTGAACTCTCCAGATGCCAGACACCTCTTGCCACTACTCATAGCTCTTGACACAGCTGAAATTTACCACCCTGCTATGTGATTATTTAATGCCCAATTATTTTCCCCCATCAGACAGTCTCTAAGGTCCAAGACAGGGCCAATCTCTGCTTACTGTCAACAATCCAGAGCCCACACAATATAAGGCCATGGTGGTGGGGACACACCAAGAACTACCTGAGTGGGTACTCAACAGTACAAAAACTCCAGCAAGGACTACAATCCAGTCCCACTTACCTTTGGACCTAAACCCCACTTGCGAGGATAAGTGTCTCTCTCCATGATCACCCTCTTGATCTTGGCTACTATACCATGATCGCAGGTAGAAATTACTGCTGTGGTCATTAATGCAATAGCTGCAGACATTGGAAAGAGAAAAAAGAATAATTTAAAGGGAAAAGATTTGATAACTGATCAAGCCCCAATTCTGTTTCATGCCATTTGAAGCTCTGAGTTCTATCACTGTGGGTGTGTGGGGTGGCGGTACTAAGGATTGAACCCAAGGCCAGGACTGTATCATTTGAACTACACCTCCAGGCCTTTTATTTTGTTTTAGGGACAGGGTCTTGCTAACTTTGTCCAGGCTGGCCTCAAACGTATCCTCCTGCCCCTAACTCGCAAGTAGCTGGGATTATAGGCATGGTTACTACTTTAATTGGGTTTCCTTTGCTCAGGGTGTGTATATGGAAAAAACCCTCTATTACAGGAAGGGAGCCTTTGAAATTAGATATTACATTTATCAAGTTAAAAAATACCTAATCAAAGCAACCGAAGATACACATGGTAGGTTTGTGGCTCTGTACATGTATAATGGTGTACACACTCCCCTTGGGGCCATAGAAAATTTGAACATTTAAGAATGCCCTTTCTGCTGCCTGTGGGGATATAGCTTTCCATGACTGCCCCATCTGCTCACAGAACAGAACTGAGACAAGGGATCCTGTTGACATATTTTATTTCTGGTGCAAATTAGGATTATTAAATTAATAGGTCTTATTTGCTCATTAAGAGAGCCATGGAGCATTTAAAGTTATAAGGGACAACCTAACAATAGCTAAACTTTCATAAATTAAAAATCACTGGTACTAATTACAGTTATCTACAAGCATACAGGGAGTGAACTAGAGGGTCCTCATTTTGATTGCCACAAACAACAAACCATTACCACTCTAACAATTTACCAATGATTTCCTGTACTTTCACGGGAGACAAAGGTGTACTCTTGTGCAATACCATCTCCCATCTGTCCCTTTCACTGTAGCCACCATACAACGCCCAGGGGATACCATAATTAAGTCCACCGGAGGGACCAGGCTCTCAGTGAGCCTAGCTGTGAAGGGTATGGAATGGAGTCCCAAATCCAGGACTGATGAGGATGACAACCCCCTTACCCATGCAGATGGCTTCCCCCTTGGTGGTAATGACCACGATCTCCTGGTTGACCTCAATGCCGTCCTCATATCGGAGAACACCTGGAAGCATGATCTTGGCCCCATAGCAGATTGCATTCACCTGCAGGGATGATGTCATATGCCTAAAAGTCCCAGCTGCTGCCCTCCATCCCACTTCCATACCAGAACAGGAGGAAAAGAAGAGGGAGGTGACCTGACAGCAGGAAATGAGACTAATAGCATTGATATAACCCACTGGCCACGATGGGGCATTAAGGGACACAGAATAGTAGCACGACTACCACAACTACCTACTATGTGCTAGGCACTACTCTAATAACTTTACACACATGACTCCAAAATTAAAGACAACTTTAAAATAATAGGTACTTCTCATATTCCATGATACTTTAGCTGCAAAATAACACTGGCGTCATTCACTAAGTTTTACAATCAGGTTTTTAGGCTCTGCTTTTTCCATGAGACCTATAGGTATTGTCATCTTTAATGAACCAGCCTTAGCTTTCTGGAATTGCTCCTCTCTAATCAGGAGAAAGAACAATGCATTTACTGGAGAACCAAAGTAACTTACTAACAAGATTACCAAGCCTGTTCAATTACATATAAGTTTCAATATAAAATTTATAGACCAATGGTAAGGCCATCTCTTCAGGGGTTTAACAGCACCAATACACCTATGTGCTTCAGACTATCTTGTCTTCACTCATCTAGACCTCATTTACTGACCAATTTTCCTCTCCTTAATCTGAAGCCAACAGTCCGACCCCAGCACAAGGAGGGCACATCACATTTACACCACTCTCTATGTTACTAATCATCAACCTTAGGTTAATAAATATAGAAATTTTATCCTTCAAGCAATTTTATAGCTATATAAAACTATATACTGGGCCACAAACATAATAAAAAGGTATAAAAGGCTATATTCTCTTATCATAATAGACTTAGGAATAAAAAGTCTACTTAAAAACTTCTGGATCACTTGGAAAGTAACTAACTCAGCCTTAAATTACCTTACTACTAAAAAAGAAACTCAAACTAAAATAACTACATATCTATTTCCATCATTAAGATGACTATTCTTGATTACAAGGCTGTACAGTAAATGTTAAGAAAAGGGCTTGATGAATGGCTCAGCAAAGTTTAGATTTTATTGCCTCAAAGTACATTTAAACAGAACAAAACTTTTAACTGAAATTCCTACAGAATAACATTATTAGTGCCGAAACTCTCTAGTCTCAATCTTTTCACATTCAAACAAACTTTACTAATAATTTAAATAAATCAAGATTTCTTAGGCACATGCAGAAGCAACAAATTATAGGTACCATTGATAGCCTGTTATTACTTGAGCCAAGTTACTTAGGGAGGACTCTCAAAGTCAATGTTTGATTTGCCTTACTTTGAAATGTTAAGTAGGTCTACCATTAAATTTTTACTTTAAAGTAGTATACCTGGTTCTAACTTAATTTTAGTGAAGTTTCCATTATTTGCAACAAAGAATCCCGGGTACAATCTCTGAAACTATGAGAAAAAAAGATCCTAAGGAAAATAATAAAAAAATATGAGCTCATAATGCCAAAGTTTCATTTCTTTTAAACAGAATGAAGTTTTCAGAACAAGGACCATGTCTCATCCATTCCATGCAAACATGCACTCTTAATCCAGAACTTACTGCACTATCTTTCATAACCAGCCGCTTATGAGATGTTAACAGCTTTTCCAAGGGATAGACAACACGCCGCAGGTAACTCTCATCCTTATGGTTATCATACAGCCACTGAGCGTCGAGCACATCATGCATTGTCACCATGTGGTCCTGAAAAGCAGCCAGGTATGAAAGTAATTCAGCATCTTCATACCAAAAATACCCACTGGACCCCTAAGTTCCTAAAACTGATTATAACTGTAATTTGTTTGCTAGTCCAAGCTTATCATGAGTCTTCAGTCTTTTAGAATTGCCTGTCTTCTGGGTATCTTTAACTGTTGCTATATTAGATCTAAACAGGCACTCTTTTCTTTTTGTGCTGCTGGGGATGGAACTGAGGGCTTTGCACATGCTAGGCAAGCATTCTACCAGCAGGCATACTGTAGGCTGGGAGGTAAATGAATGGAGTAATATTTCTATCCAATCATCTCCCCTAGCCAATTTCAATGTCCCAAAGTTTAATTAACAGAGCAGGGAAGCTGACCTGAACTGAACTCAACACTTTGGAAATCACCTTTCCCAGGATATAAAGCAGATGGGAGTTCTACTAAGGGCTGGAAGATGTTAAAGAGTCAGTTCTAAAACCTCTAATCCCTAAAGGCATACCTTTTCACTCATGACTCCAGAACGAACCCTCCGCAGTTCCTGCATCTGACCACCAACTCCCAATAACAAACCAAGGTGCACGCACAGTGTCCGAATGTAGGTGCCGGCCTCACAACTCACCCAAAAGATTCCTAAGACACATATATACACACAAAAAAAGAAAAACAGCACCTATTTTCCAGAGCAAACACATCAGTGGTTGAGAAAATCAGAATTATTCTCCATTTCCATCAAGATTAGTGCTAAAAGACACAGGCCATGCACACAATGTGCTAAGGGCATCTAGTTCTAACAGAATGGAATCCTCAAGAATGCATTCTTACCAACTGTGGGTCTATGGCAACTCAGTTTCTCACAGGCCTAATAACAACCCACCTAATCTTCGTTCAGGATCATATTCAATCATTTTGCTCTCGTAGATAGTCCTCACTCGGAGCTGTCTCTTTACTGCGGCAATAAGTGGGGGTCGCTGGAACAGGGCACCTGTCAGTGTTTCTAGGGCCTAAGAACAAGCACAAACCAAAACAACACATTCTCATCATATAGATAAGGTTTCTTCCAATTATTTATGATCAAAAATGTCCTTTCTCGGGCTGGTGGAGTGGCCCAAGTTTGCTAGAGCGCCTGCCTAGCAAGCACGAGGTCCTGAGTTCAAACCCCAGTACTGCCAAAATAAATAAATAAAAGAATACAATGCCCTTTCATTCAGCCTCTGCTTTCTTCAACTCCTCAGGGAAGGCTCCAATGCTCATCAGAAACTCCTCCTTAGAAGGGACATGACTGGAAGAGATCCCTACCACCTACAGTAGGCTAGGGCAGCCTACTGAAAAGGGCATAAGAGGCTAGCCAGGAAAAAGGTTGACCTGTCTCCAGACATTCAGGGGCTCAGACACCCAAGTCACCAAAGCTACCCTCCCTATAATTGCAGACTTACCCTAGAAAGCTGGGTCCCCCCTTCAATAGCATTGTGTAGCCGGACAATTCCCACATACTCTTTGCCTGAAAAATGACAAAAGAGTAGTCAGGTGTGGCCACTGAATTTTCTATATATTCCTATTTTTATATGGTCAATTGCTGCCATTTGGCATCTCAGAAAAAGCAGGCAATCTGCCATCATGTTTCTGTAAAATGTGTATTAAGACAAACTTCATGGTGCTTATAGGGAAAAGAAAATACCTTCCCTCAGGCCAAGTGTGGTTGAGCATGCCTGTAATCCCAGCACCCAGGAGGCTGAGGATCACTAATTCCAGGCCAACCTGGATTACATACAAAGATCCTATCTCAAAATAAAAAGACACTTTCTCTCATGTGGAGTTCGATGCTAACAGGGAGAGGTCAAGTACCGACTATAGAGTCTAACTGGAAAACACTTTGCAAGATAAGCATGAGAATTTTTCTCAGATGAAAATGAGGGTAGGACACTTTAGGTGCAACAAGATCAGAGCAAAGAAGCCTGGAGATGGACAAAACTAGGAATGGGTTAGCTGGCTCGATGTGCACATGCTAGTATCTGGAACTCCCCAAGGGCAGAACCACCAGGATTTGTTTAGCAAGAGAACATAAAGTACATAGAAACCAAAAGAAAATCCCTGGCTTCATGATTTTTCTTCTCTACCAAGTAAGTTTCCAAAAGCCAAAATGTAGAAGGGAAGTATAGCCAGCTCTTCACTCCCTCCTCCCACATACCTGCACTCTGTTGTGATTTCACCAAGCGAGTGGCTCGTTCTATGCACACAATTAAACACCCAGTCACCTTGGGATCCAAGGTGCCACTGTGTCCTGTCTTCTCCACCCGAAGTATTCGGCGGATCCAAGCTACCACCTCATGGGAAGAGGGGTTAGAGGGCTTGTCAAGATTAATGAAACCTGTCCTAGAATGGAAAAAAGATTTATGTACCACCTGCTCTTGTGCTCTAAAAAATCAAGAGTTAAAAAGAATTCACCAAAGGTTTAGGTTATATATTCAGGGCAAAGTCATTCTAAGATGCCACTACCTCCTTGAATAACTGATATGAAGCATCACTTCCAGAAAAACCTAAGTTTAAACAGTGCTTGTTCTCCACACTTACCGGATATAGTCCCCAATCTCTCTCTTCAGAGGGTTTGAACCACAGGGAAGGGGTGTATAGTGTGTTGTCCTTACATTTAGCTTATCAAAATTCTAGAAAGCAACAATACAATACAAAGTAAGCTTAATAATACACACTGATGTGTAAACAAGTTATCACCATCAATCATAATATGGAAGCCCTTCAAATCCACAGATTTGGAGTTTTGCTTCTATATTCACGCCACTACTTGCTGCAATATGTCAACCCTCCTTATACACTGGGGAAATTCCCAATAGTGTTAATGAGAAAAATTTGAGCACTTGTAGATTTAAGTCAGTCTCTAGAAAGAGACTTGGGGTACTACAAAACACAAATTAGGCTTCACTATGCAGACTATGACTAAAGCATGGAATAGCTTTGATTTTTCTCAGGGGCAAGAAAAGCAAATTGAAAATGACTGGCAACTTTTTTCAACATGGCTAGCTTGGTTCTGCTCCAGATGCCCCCATCTCTGTTCTTCACGTTTCTGCTCCTTTTCAGATTCATGTCTGAGGCTTAAGAACCAATTGGAAAGAATTCACAAATTAAAGCCCATCTTTCATCATCAGTTCAATTTTAACATTTTAAAACCATCTATCTCCTCTCCCTGGCTTTTAAGTTCCCTCACAGTTGGGACCTTAACTACTTTGAGCAGTAGCATATTTCCAGGGCCAATAGGAAAGCAGATGCTGTCTTAAATGAGTGATACCTGATCAAGCAGAAACTCTCCTTAGTTGAATGATATAAGCAAACCTCATTTTTTCACCATCACAAACATAATAGTTCATTAAAACTTTTTCTAAAAGGGTATCTCAGCAACTTTTCTCCAAACCACATAGCTGGTACCCACTTTAATTGTGAAAATACAAAAACAGTTTCATTTGACCCACTACTCAACTACACCATTTAAACTTCAAAATAATACTCAATAATTTCTATCATGTACAACATATTAGAAACTGTGTATAAATGTTTCATGGAATACTTCCTATAACCCCCAGCATATCTTCCTAAGAGAAAGTATGACCAAACACCCTGAGAAGTTAAATGCATGGCCCAAGGTCACACATACTCTGAGCCAAATGGGTCTGGTTTCAAAGCTCATGCCCTTAAGCACTAAAGCAATCCTATCTCAAGCGTGGCTCACAAACTGGTACACGTCTACAAGATGAAGTTAAAAATTCAGAAACGGAATTGTTTAAGAACTTTAGTAGCAATCTTAACATTGTGGTGACGTTTATAGTGTATTTTGCAACAGAGTTGGGTAGGTTCAAAATTTTAACATGATCCTCCATCTTGGATACTCTGAGGAATATTATGTAATGTGGCATTTACTAAACTCAAAAATGTCATCAGTAAGCATCCTTAATCAACTGTTTTAGCAAACAGAATAATGTAAAAGCCAGACATTCATCTGATGCACACAATACATACCTTTAGCAACAAGGGCCACTGAGAAGTGTCCAACTGAGCCACTTTGGATTCTGGTTTGATAAGAAACTCTTCAGCATGTTGTATTTCCTTTGACAGGACAGAAACATAACCTATTAAACTTTCTACCTGATTTTGAGCAATTCCATCACTACCATAGAAGTATGCCTTCTATACAGAAAACAGGGCATTCTGTGTATCTTCACTGGGACCCCCCTCCCCCCCGCGAAAAAAGAGATGAACTAGGAGCTCATTAAGTAAAGTGAAGGGCCACTAAGGTGGGGAAAAAACGGTGGGTGGGTCTGTGAGTGTGATAGGGAAATTCGGAGAGAACAGTGGATGTGACCAGCACCATTTAATACACTATGCATGATAGGAAACTTCTCATTTGGGCACATTTAAAAACATTTCTTTTTTAGTTTATTATTTAAGTAACCTCTCCTTTTGGTCAAAGCAAAGTTGAACACATTCCTACTCACCGCCACATCATCATCTTGTAATGGCTTCCGGTCCTTTTTCTTCTTATGCTTCTTTGGCAAACTAACCACTATGAGAAACAAGCAAAAAAATGCAGGGATTTTCCTTGAAAACAAATGAAGCAAAATTTAAAACAAGGGCTGAAAGCAGGGCAGATAGAAACGGGCTTTAAATCCAGCATTACTAGAGAAAACTTAAGCGTGTGGGGCCAAACTCCTGGGTCGCCTGACTGGTAACAGACTGCAGGCTGTCGCACGTGTTCGCTTACTTTCCGGTTCACCACGTGGCTGTGGCAGGGCCAAACACCACGCAGAAGCGCTCGCCCACAGGCCGGAAACTTCCACGGGCGACCACCGGCCTGTGTGCCTGTCCAGGCGGGCTTGTGCGCGCTACGATTTCCTTGCAACTCGGTACTGTAACCCGCTCCCCGGGGCCCCTCTTCTTCCCAACCCTTTCCCAGTACGGTTGCTCTTCGTGGAGCTAAGCAGCATCCAGGCTGGCGCACAGATGCTGCCAGGGCTGTTACCACGGAGTTGCCAGCACGACAAATGCCTTTCGAAGACGACCAAGGCCCTGAATGGATTTCATCGAAAGAAGGCCTGGATCCCACGGAGCCAAGTCACCTTGTGGGCTTTCGCTCTCTTACGCGCGCCCGTGGAGCCCAAACCGAGCCAAGGTTGGCCTACCGCCCGGCGGCGACGCAGCCGGCCCGAAGGAAAAAATGGGCAGAAACTGCGGGCCCCAATGCCACCTCCACATCCCCGACTCCTGGACACCTCGGAAGGCCTCCCAGATCTCCCAACCCCAGCACCCACAGCCCTTACCTTCCGCGTCCGCCATCTTGCACTACGCCGCGTGCGTGCGGCCCAGGCCACCGCTCAGGGAACAACCGCAGACTCCCGCCGCCCAGATCCCGTCCGGCCGCACCGCTTGGACCCGCCCAGCTGCGCACCGCCCCATCCGCGCCGGGCGACGGGACGGGAAGGGGCGGGCCGGTCCAAAGGGCGCGGCTGTGCGCTCAATTCCATTGGCTGCCTCGGCCACGCTGTAGTGCGACTGCGCATGTGCTCCAGGACTCAACCCTCCCTGTCACTGATGGAAGCCCTCACAGCTTCGAGCGTGTGGGCGTGGCCCCGACAGTCCCTTGCAGTCCCTTGCTTACCGTCTCTCGGCTAAACTGGGGTTCTCGTACCTGGACGCCCTGCATAGCGCTTTGTAAATAGTTGCTTTCTCACTCTGATTCTCTCAGGTTGATGTCCTATCTGTCCGGATTGAAAAAAGGAAGACACTGAGGCTCAGTGAGGGTGAAAACCATTTACTACTTGAAATTCCCGTCGTTAGGGCTGCGCTGGCCAATAGGAATACAGCGTGCCACATGTGTGCTTTTAAATTTTCCAGCAGCCACATTAAAGAAAAGTAAAACGAAAGATATGGAGTCTATTTTAATAATTTCATTCTACCCTGCATATTCGAAACATTACCATTTCAACATATAAGCAGTATGCAATAATAGTATGCGAACTTGATTGATTGATCCTTAGCTACTTAATGCTCTATTGCAATTGTAAATGGGATTTTTGGAATGTTTTCTAATGAGTTGTGGCTGACAAAAGACAATAGATATTGCCTTTCTTCTGTTCGTCTTTGTCAATGTAAAGAAACTTTTTCGGTACTATTTTACCATGGCTTAAATAGATGATTGGTTTTTCTCATCTAATTCTTATTCTATCGGGATTTTATTTTGGTGCAAGTAATAATGATAATGATCTGAATTTAGTTTTTATAGATAACCAAAGTCCCCAGGATCAAGCAATCCATAGTAGTTTATTACTTCCCCATATTGGTACATATTTGGCTGAGTGATTTTGAGGTACTCATGCATGGTTCTCCTACAGGTTTCATCTTTGTCACATCCTTATTCTCAAATCTGTGACCAAAGCTGTAGGCTTGACTTTCAAAAGAGACCCAGAATCTTGTGGTCTTTCTCCACCCTTAATCCTGTCACCATCATTATGACTCTCCAGATTTTTCCAGTGGCCTCCTGCAGGTCCACCTGTTTCTACTTTTTCCAAATACAGTTTCTTCCCAACACAGAAGCTTAAAAGGACCATTAAACTCAATTAGATCACATCTCTTTTCTGCTCAAAATCCTTTAAGGCTTTCCTATCTTTAGTACATTGAAGAGTGACCCCCAGAAGCTATGTCCACAACCCAACCTCCTGTGAATATGATCTTATTTGAAAGAGTGTGTGCAGGTATAACGAAAGTAAGAATCTTGAGATGCGCTCATCCTGGATTACCTGGGTGAGCCCTAAAGCCAATGGCAAGTGTCTTTACAAAACAAGGGAAGAAACAGAAGAGGAGAAGGTCATGTAAAAAAAAAAAAAAAAGCAAAGGTTTGAGTCCTTTCACATTTCTAGCCTTCACAGCTATGAGAGAATAAATGTGTTTTTAACCCTCTTGATTTGAATAATTTGCTATAATAGTCCTAGGAAATGAATACACCATCTCAGTAAGAGCAAAGGCCAAAGTCCTTACAATGGCTGTGAGACTCTGCCATGAGTACTCATTTTAAATTCATGTCCTTCCACCCGGTTCCTTATCAACCCCCTCCTGCATCATGCTTGTTGGCTGTTCCTGAATGCACAGTGGGGCAGTCTTCCATCTTGGGGCTTTTTCACCCACTCTTCCATCTACCTGAATGGACTTTGTTTATTGTCTGCCTCTCTACAATAATGTTTTGTCTATATTTTTCAACTCTTAGAGGTTTCTCAGGGCTACAGAGCAGGTAGCAAACTTGATTTCCCCCCAAAGATATTCTAAGCTGAACTACTCACAATACCCAAAAGCTGGAAACAACACAAATTTTCATCAATAAATAAACAAACAAAATGTGGTCTATCCATACAATGGAATATTAGTCAACAATAAAAAGGAAGGACATGATACATGTTACAACATAGATGTTCCTTGAAAGTAATATGCTAAGGAAAAGAAGTCAGACCTAATTTAAGGCCTGAAACTTTGAAACTACCGCAGGAAAACACCTCAAGATATGGACACAGACAAGGAATTTCTTACTAGGACTCCAATAGCTCTGGAAATAAGAGCAAGAATTAACAAATGGTATTGCACTGTATTAAAAGGTTTCTATACATCAAAGGAAATAATTATGAGTGATGAAATAGCCCACAGAATGGGAGAAAATATTTTCCAGCTACTCATCTGACAAAGGACTAATATCCAGCAGGTGTGACTCAAGCAGTAGAGTGTCTGCTTTGTGAGCACGAAGCCATGAGTTCAAACCCCATTCCCATAAAAAAAAAAAAGCTTTGTATTTAAGGGCTGGCAGAGTGGCTCAAGTGGTAGGAGCTCCTGCCTAGCAAGCATGAGGCCCTGAGTTCAAACCCCAGTTCTGCCCAAAAAATGGGACTAATATCTAGAATATGTAAACAACAAAATAATCCAATTAATAAATCAGCTAATTAATTGAACAATTCTTAAAAGATATACAATAAAAGCATGAAAAAATGTCCAATATCCTTGGCCATTAGGGAAATGCAAATCAAAACTACTTTAAGATTCCACCTCACCCCAGTCACAATGGCTATCGTCAACAAAATAAACAACAATGAATCTGGCAAGGATGTACAGAAAAAGGAACCCTTATACACCATTGGTGGGAATGTAAATTCATGAAGCCGAAATAAGATAAAAAATATATTAGTGCAGCCCATATGGAAATCAGGATGGAGTTTCCTCAAAAAAAAAAAAAAACCAACTACAACTAGAAGGACCATATGATCCTACTATACCACTCCCTGGAATATATCTGAAGGAATGTAAGTCAGCATGTACTAGAGATACCTGTACAACCATGTTTATTGCAGCACTATTTTCAATAGCAAAGCTATGAAATCTGGGTAGGTGCCCACCAACTGATGAATGGATAAAGTATATACACAGTGGAATATTATTTATCCATAAAGAACAACAAAATGTTTGTAGGAAAACTTATGGAACTAAAAACCGTCATGTTAAGTGAAATAAGCCAGACTCAAAAACAAATATGTTGTTTCTTCTCATTTGCAGAATATAGACCTAATGCACATATATTAATATGATATATACATATATTGGTTTTCATATGTATACATACAAGCATATGTGTATATATATGCACACATGTCATATACATACATGTATGTATAAGTGACAGGAATGTAATAAGGGCCTGTTGAGGGGAACCAATGAGAGGTGGAGGGGGAAATCTAAAGTTGATCGGGGTGCATATGATTGAATTATATTATGTATATGCATGAAAATAGCATAATGGAACCTGTTACAATTGTTAAAAAAAAGAGGAGAGTGGGTATATAAGAAAGAGTACAGGAAATAGTACATTATGTGCATATATGGAAGTATGAGTAATATGAGCTAATAAAATATTTGAGAATATAGGTATGGTAGTATATGCCTGTAATCCCAGCACTTGGAAGACTGAATGAGGAGGATCATGAGTTGGAGACCAGCTTGGGCTACATAGCAAGACCCTGTCTCAAAAAGCAAAAAAAATATATTAAGGAAAGAAAAATCATGTTTGTACTAACTAGGTACAGACTTTGTTTTCATGTCATGATTTCCTAAACAAAACAGTATAACACTATTTATGCATCATTTTATTGTATTAGGTATTGTAAGTGATTTATCTAGAGATGATAAAATATATAAGAGGATGTAAGTAGTTTCTACGTATACTATGTCATTTTGTTTAAGAGAAGTGAGCATTCACAGATTTTGGTATCTGAGGAAATCCTGGAATCAAGCCCCTGTAGATTTTATAACCATATTCTTATGGCTAGGAATTCAGACAGGACATGGTGAGAATGGTTTCTTCTGCTCCGTAATGTCTGAGGTTCCCATGGTGTTGTAGTACCTGCTTAGTAGGACTTTTCATATAGCTTGGACTTCCTCATGGTATGACAGCCTTAGAGCACTGCAGTCTGATTCTGTACTTTGTGGCTCAGGGCTTCAACATCAAGGACTAAGGCATAAATCTGCATCACCTATTATGACTTGGACTTGGAAATCTCATAGCATCATTTTTGCAATATTCTATGATTGAAACAGTCCAAGGGGACCATACATTGGCTCCCATGTCTCAATGGGAGGAGTGTCAAAGAATTTTAGATCCTTATCTCCAAAGTGTCACATGAGAGGAAGTGTCTCTTCATGTATTTTCTCTATTTTCTAATTGGATTATTAGGGAAGTGTATATGAAAACTAAAATGAAATACCACTGCCTATCCATCAAAATTGTAAAGTAAGAAATTCAGTAGCTTTCCCATGTTGACTTTCTGATCTACGAGTCTTTTGTTAGACATATGGCTTGAAAATATTTTCTCACAATCTGTGGCTTGTTTTATTATTCACTCAATAATGTATCTTGTAGAGTAAAAGTTTTAATTTCAACAAAATCCAATTTATCAATTTTTCTTTTATAGATAATACTTTTGATGTGTAAGAATTCCTCATTAGGTCCTAGGTCCCAAATATTTTTCCTGTTATCTTATAAAACTTTTATAGCTTTATGTTTTACATCTAAATCTAGGATTCGTTTTGGCAATGGTGCAAAGGTAATTCAATGGTGGAAGGACAGTACTGGAGCTCCTTCTTGATTATGGGGGTCATTTTATAGATTCCTTCAGATTGTTCTATGAAGACCATCATGTCATCTGCAAATCAAGACTATTTCCTTCTTCCCAATAGGTAAACTTTTTGTTTCATTTTTCTCGCCTTATTGCTCTAGCCAGAATTTCTAGCACTATGTTTAATAAAAGTGGTGAGAGTAGATACCCTTGTTTTATTCCCAATCTTTCTATCTTTTTTTCTTTTTTGCAGTGATAGGGTCAAAACCTTTTTCTTAATTTTAAGGGAACAGTATTGTTTCTCATCATTAAATGTGAGGTTAGCCATAGGTCTTCTGTACATATTCAAGAAGTTCAGGAAGTTCTCCCTCCATTCCTAGTTTACTAAGAGATTTTGTTATGAACAACTGTTAGAGCGTGTCAAATGCTTGTTCTGCATTAATTGATATATGCAACTTTTCTTCTTTGGCCTGTTGATGTAACAAATTGCATTGATTTAGGAAGGGGACAGTACTAGGGATTGAACTAAGGGCTTTGTGCTTGCTACCACTTGAGCCATGCCCCAGTACTTTTAGTTTGCTTTAAAGATAAGGTCTTGAATTTTGCCCAGGCTGGCCTCAGATGGCAATTGTTCTTCCTCTGCCTCCTAAATACTTCAGATTATAGGCAAGCATCACTACACTTGGCTTGGCTTTTGAGATTAGGGTCTCCCTAACTTTTAGCCCAGGCTGGTCTTCAACTTTGATCCTCCTATGTCCACCTCCTAGGTAGCCGGGATTACAGGCATGCACCACCACTCCTGGCCCTGATTGGTTTTTCAAATATAAACATGCCTCACATCTCTTGAATAAACCCCACTTGGTCACCATGTACAATCCTTTTTGGGGGGTAGTATTGGGGTTTGAACTCAGAGTCTTGCACTTGGTAGTCAGGCTCTCTACTACTTGAGTCACACCCCCAGGGCCATACCCCCAGAGTATTGTTTTTATATATTTTTGAATTCTATTTGCTAGTATTTCACTAGGGATTTTTGTGCATATTGGTCTGTAGTTTTCATTTTTTAAGCTGTTTTTTGGGGTTCTGATATCAAGTGATACTGGCTTCATAGAATGAGTTGAGAAGTATTTAGTTTGGACTTGTGACAACAATTTCACATGATTTAAAACATAAAACAGTAGTTCATATGATGTCAGGATTTTCTCAGGAGATGCCAGAAACACTATCATTGACAGTAAAAGTCCAAGTTTCATACTACAGATAGAAATGGCTTTCACTCTCAGAGAAGCTCTATATAAATGTCCATATAGGACCTTCATACACATATATAACTATCTCCCCTTTTCTGCCCATGATCCAGAATTTTCCATTCAATATTTTTTTGGAGAAAAATTTCCAAGTCCATTTCTTTTCAAATTACCCTGTTTTTCATAGCGAGTAAGTTAGATGCATGCTCCCCCTCCCCATCATGACATGATTGAAATAGAAGCACTTCGGTAACAGTGAATATGTATTTACTTCCACAACCTTTCTTTTTTTTTTTTCCTTTTTCTTTTATTATTCATATGTGCATACAAGGCTTGGTTCATTTCTCCCCCCTGCCCCCACCCCCTCCCTTACCACCCACTCCACCCCCTCCCTCTCCCCCCCACCCCCTCAATACCCAGCAGAAACTATTTTGCCCTTATCTCTAATTTTGTTGTAGAGAGAGTATAAGCAATAATAGGAAGGAAAAAGGGGTTTTGCTGCACAACCTTTCTAGTTATAAGAGTTACAGTACTGAGTGAACTGCAAATTAAACCTATTTTATTTTTTTGTGTCGCTGGAGCTATAACCCAGGCAAGTGCTCTACCACTGAGCTATGTCCCCAGCCTCACTGAATCTATTTTAAATAAACAATAAGTGGGGGGCGCAAAGGAATCCAGGTGCTAAAACTCCGCAAGATGGAGTGCTCTTATTCACTGAGGTGTGAGCAAGTTTGACAATCAGCAACAAATGCTGAGACTCCCTAGGACCAGGTACTCAACCTGCCCACAGTTGAGACCAACGATGAACCCCCAACATGGAGGGACCAGCCAGGCACCTGGTGGCAGGGTATGAAATTGGACCACATCCATTTTCATGGACGAGGAAGCAGTTTATTCTCAGTTACATAGGCACTTATTTTATTCATGGATTTTTCTTTCAAACTCACATGTCTATTAGTGTTTCCACTTACTGAATCCCTTATTTATATTTGCAATATTTCTCATAACATCCTTCTTGACCAAGGAAGTCATCACAAATACTTTGAACTCGTGACCAGCCTATGGTATTGTTTGGCCATAGCCAGAACTGATAGATTCAGGAATGAAGACCTGGAAGTTGGAGCAGCCCCTGTCATGATCATACCTCACAATACACTCTCAAAGTGTTTCTTTTTATACCCACACCTTTGAGTTCTACTAGTTAGGAGGTCTTGGTTCCCAATGGGAAGAATGTAACATTGGTTTTTAATTGCATTGCACGTTGAGACTGCCACCTAGCCATTTAGCATTTTTTTAATGCCACTAAAACAAAAGGCAAACCATGGGTCCTACTGAACTGGCTGAAATGATTTCTAGTGATTATCAAGTGGAAAGAGGGTTGCTTTAAAACAATGGAGTCAGGGAGACGGTCTTGAATCCAAGGGATCCTATTCACTAAGCAAAAAATTCTGACCAGTTGAAGTCCTGGCTGAAGAGCAAAGGGAGGGTAATGGAGGAAGAAGTTATATATGGCAATTTTAATCTTATGACCAGTCACAGAAAGAAGAATTGTAGCCTCTCTCCCTCCCTCCTTCTGTCTCCTTCTCTCCCTCTCTTTCCTGTCTGTCTCTCTTTCTTTTTCCCTTTTCTCTCCTCTCTCTCTCCCTCTCTCCCCCACGTGTGAAATTTTTCATTTTTTTCTTTTGTCTATATTTGTTGTATATATGTCAAATAAAAGTTGACATATTGTTTCTGAACTAGGAGAGAAATAACTATCCTATAGAGGTGGCTATAATGACTGAACCTTTGGTATTTTGTTTTGGGGGATTTTTTTTAGTTAGTAGGAGGGATAGTAGCATTTTTTGTGTGTGTGAATGTTGAGTAGTTATGGGTGTGTTCTGTGTGTCTCAACTTCCATTTCACCTCCTTTATATTTGGAGAAGTGGGAAAGCTAAGCAAAGATTAATATTCTTTTGAACCTAGATTTCTGGATGTGAATTAGGTTCGGCTAATGACATAGGCTGGTGTGAGATTTGGAAAGTGAGAGGAGGTGGACAGTTGCAATGGTGGTAAGAGTGAAGTGGGTTCTGAGATGTGAGTGTTGGCAGCAGCTGGAGTCTAGTCTTGTGCCAGAAAGTTTCCCAAGTCTGCTTTTCACTCTGATAAGCGTGTGTGCCTTGAAGCCTGAAGTCTACTGTCATCCCCTGATTGCATTTGTCCTGCATGGTCGATAATTTTGTTGAGTATCTAAGTAAAATTAATCCCTTCCTTCTTGAAATACCTAGAGTGGATTCCTTTTTGTCAATTGAACCCTAATTATAGAATGACATGAGCCCTGGAACCAAAAGCAGTCATCTGTCCTGGAAATTTTGGGTGCATGGTAGTGGGGTGAGAAGTCTCTTTGTAGATTATTTGTTTTGTTCAAGTGTCACTTCCAAGTAAGAGGTATCACACCAGGGGAACAGACCGCTGTAGATCAGGGAGACAGCCACAAGCTGCGACACATCACATAGACGGTGCCCACGTTAGGGATGTTTTTTAGTTTTTAAGTATGTTCACAAATTGCAGAGGTTGGTGCTTCGGGGAGGGGGGCTTTTGAAACCGAAAACTTGGGCTGTTGGATGGATTATCTCGTAGGTGTGTGGCTCTGCACAAGTGCCATTATTATCTTGTTTGGTATTTTAGAAGCCTGTGAAATTGAGATGATAATAAAGACCATTGGTCAGGGTGTGTATGCAGATGCAACGAGGTAATGCGTGTGATGCACTGAGGAGAGTAAGTCCCACTGTGTTTGCTTGTAAACATTGTGCTACTCCAGCACAGTGAGCCTGGAAGTCATTTTTAAAGCCTCAGAGTTAAAGGGGCTGCAAATAGCACTACTTTTGAATTTGGATCATGAAACAGTTGTGCCAGCAGAGCTTATTACTGAACACAATGATCTTTGGAGGAGGAGCATAAAAAATACAGTGCTCTGCAAACAATGAAGTGGAACAGGGAAGTCAAAGAGGAGTCTTTCTTTTCTTCCTCCCTGAACTATATATGGCAGATGTGGGTCATGGGTTTCGGCTCTCATGGCCCAGAGGCCAGGAGAGCAGCCCTTGTTGACGTGGCTGATCAGGGATGGGGATGAAGGCAGCAGGTTCCAAGCCTTGCTCGGGTTAGGTCGCAGAGCTCCTTCCGTGTGCGCTGTCTCGCGGCTCGGACTTGGCTAACAGAACAGCCCTGTGGGCCCCGGGGTGGCAGAGCGCTTCCTCGAAGGGGCTTCCCCAGCGTCGCGGCTTGCTCTTCCCGCCTTGGAGGGCGGGGAGCAGGGCGCGGGTCCCTTCCCAGGGGGTCGCAGCAGCAGCTCGGGGCGGCGCTAGACGGGCGCTGGGCCCGCCCCGCAGGCATCCCTGGCCAGACTTCCTCCTGCCGCAGGCGGCCAGCCCAGCTGGAGGAAGCAGCGGCGGCGGCGGCCACGATGAGCGCGGGCGACGCCGTGTGCACCGGCTGGCTCGTCAAGTCGCCCCCCGAGAGGAAGCTGCAGCGCTACGTGAGTAGGGGCGCCGCCGCATCCCGGGCTTCGTGTCCTCGGGTCCCCGCCCGCGGGGTGGGTTCGCCGTGGCCGCGCCAAACCGAGCCGCTCCCTGCGCCGGGGCTGCAGGCGAGGCCGATGGACGAAAAGCGAAATCGCACGTCGAGCCAGTGTCGCCGCTATGCCTGGCAGCGGGCCGGGACCCTTTGGTCGTCGCCCGCCAGGCTCAGCGGTGGAACACCGCCCCTGACCGTGGCACAGGGAGGCGGATTGGGGCCGAAAGCCCAGGCTCCAGTCTGGGTGCTGAGGCAGCTAGGGGGACATCTCGAAAGAGTGTCCCTGTCGTGGACTGAGTTCTGTTGCCCAGCGAGGGGACAGGGCAAGGGGAAGGGAAGCGAACGCGAAGAGGAAACTCGCCTGGGACAGGAGGCAGGGAAGCTCCTGGGCTCCCCTTGGACTGTAGGGAAGGCTGTCCTGTAACTATCGTCGGACACTCCTGCGTGGAGCCTTCTCCACCGCGCGATTCTTTCCCCAACGCGTTGCTTCTCAGCGTTTTCTTTATGCTGACCCCGCGCTTTTCTAGTCCGGCAGGAACCACTGGCTTTTACTATTATGAAATAAGGGACGCTGGGAAGAGCACATCTTCCTACACATCTATTACTTCTTTAGATAGGCTGCAGACAGATGAAAAGTTTGTTATCTCCACCGTTCACAGCATAAGATCTCAAAAACCATTCTGCTTAAAGCCCTAATTGCTACTGACCATTCTGCAGCCATTAGGAAAAACTACTTCAGTCCCCAGGGAGTTGCATATAAATAGAGATCTGGACTTCTTGCCTTTTTTTTTTTAAGACTGGGAAGAACTTGATGGGTCCATCTTATTCCTAATTCCTCTGTCACTCCACAGCATACAATCCTACCCCTGTCTGCACTTCTCTTGTCTACTGCTCCCAAACTGCTGCCCCTGCTTTGGCAAACTCTCACCAGCTTCCCGCCCCCCCCCCCACATTTCAGAGCACATGTGTTCAGGTTGAGAACGTGTGATTATAAGAAGATGGTCATAACGTATACATACTTGTAGACTTTGCAACAGGAGCTTTTCATGGAGCAGTTACTCAGGGTCCCTTTCTCTATTTACTAAGGACTACACAGCATCTCACTCTTGGGGGACTTTTGAAACTTTTATTGCTTGTACTCCTGAACAGCATTTTAGAAGAAGGTTGTTCTACTTACCACATATGTATCAGACATGTGTAAATAGGAATATTTCTTTACTTAACTGCAAGTGTGTCCCACGTCATTCTTTTTGAGTCAGTTCATAACATCAAGACCCCGTATCTCTCAGCTTTTGCATCATCCAGCTGCTTCCCTAACCGTGCAGCTGCTTTGAACACTCATTTATATTCAAAGGAGTCAGGTGAGATTTTTGTCACACAGTGGTATTTGCACAGACATCAATGTGTGAGTTTCCTTGCTGCTCTTTGGAAATAGAGACATTTAAAGAAAGAGCTGAGGATTTGGCTCAAGTGGTAGAGCACCTGCCTAGCAAATACAAGGCCCTGAGTTCAAATCCCAACACTGCAGGAAAAAAAGAGACATTTAAAGGATCATTGTACATTTTTAGAGTGGCACTAACTTTCCAGTAGATGATTTCGAAAGATGGTAAACCTGGGGAGCAAAATTTTTGGACAAATTTAGTCGCAGTCTTGGTCTGTATTATGTTCTAGGTAGACTGGCTTGGGAAAGTTAATTAATGTTTCATCATTTTGGGAAGGCTTAGGTATGTAGACCTGCTGTCATATGTGGTTTGTTCTTTTTGAGTGGAATGGGACTGGGGAATGTGTGGAGGCATGTGACGATGGAGAACCCAGATGCCATCTCCAGCATTCCAAGACATAAATCTTGACATTTTAGTACATGCTTGGGAATTTTTTTCTAAGAGCATTACAATCTTAAGAGTCTGTGCTTTTTTTTTTTTTTTTTTTCTGTCCCTGGAACATATCTCAAAAAGTCCGTTTTCTCTCATCATTGAAGTCTGTAGGAATCCTTTTTCCTCTAGGTGGCGATCATGTGTCACTTTAACGGGGTCCTGCTGGGCCGTTATACACAGCCCTCTTTAATTCAACTTCTGTGAGGAGTTGAATTAAACTGGGCACCAACTCTGAACTAGTTCCCATGTTTTGTGCTAGGAAGACAGAGAAAGAAGACTTGATTTCAGTTCTCAAGAAAGAAATGAGAACACGTTCAACACAGTAACATAACAAGCTACTTAATGATACAACCAGGACAATAACCCAGTTCTTTGTGTTGGCAGGCCATCAATGTTTGCTGTCACAATGAAAGCACAGTCTGTTTTTAGGCAAACCTTTCAGTACATTGTATTTCATCTACTAGATTCCATCAGTCAAGGCAATCAGAAAGTTACTTTTAATCACTGCTCTTTTCAAGATAGTTGAGTTTTTTCTTTAGAATTGTTTCACAAGTAATGTAGAAATTTATTCTTACTGTAAAAATTCAAACAGTACAAAACTGAATAGAATGAAAAGTTCTCCCCACAGTCTACCCTCCCCTTTGCACTCCTTCTTATTCATCAGGCATAACAGCTATTAGCAGTGTGGTGTCAGTCTGGAAAATTTTCTAGAAAATATGTAGTTTGTAGTAGATTGTGTTGTGTTAATTGTCCTGAAGTTTGCCTTTTTCACAATTCCGGACATCTTTCCATCTTGGTACATATACCTTTATTTTGATGAAACAGACTACATAATACAGAAATAGGCCTAATAACTATTGCAAATTGATTCTTTTACAAAGTTACAAAAACATTATCAATGGAGTAAAGACAGTTTTACCCAATAAATGGCATACTAATGTGCTTTTTTCTGTTTTTAGTCTGTCCCTATAGTGACATACTGATTCATTTTTAAATGTTTGACCAGCTTTGAACTCCTAGGGTAAACTTCACTTGGTTGCCTAATATTCCTTATAATAGATGTATCATAATTTAACAGTTCCTCTATTGATGAACATTTGGTTACTTCTGTTTTCTCAGTTTTAAAGAATGCTAAAGTAATACTAATAGTAAAATTATGACAGTTCACATTTGTTGAACGTTTATATGTGCCAGGAAGTGTGCTAAGGAGTTGACCTGTATTAAATCAATTTTTGTCTGTGGATACAAATTCTTTGTTGAATATGTAATTTGGAAATATTTTCTAGCAGTCTATAGTTTGTCTCTTCATTCTCTATAATATCTTTTTCAGAACTAAGATTTTTAAGTTTGTATGAAATTCAGATTATCAGTTTTTGTCAATCATGCTTGCATTGTGAAATCTAAGAACTCTTTACCTAACCTATGATCTGTAGCATTTTCTCCTTTAGATTTTCCTAAACATTTTATAATTTTACATTGTATATCAATGATCCATTTTGAGTTAATTTTGTAAAAGTTCTGGGGGTTGTGTCACGATTCACTTTCATACATACAGTCAATTTGCCAAATTTTTTAGGCCTATTTCTGGATTCTCTAGTCTGTTCCATTGACCTATTTGCTCATCTTTATGCCAGTATCATGCTGCTTGATGGCCATTTAGAGTAATTCTTAAAATCAGATGGTTTTAGCTCTCCAGCTTTGTTTTTTCTTTTTTAGAGTTGTTTTGGCCATTCTTTGTCCTTTTCTTTGCCTTCTTTCCTGTTTTGTTTTTTTTTCAGTACTGGGGTTTGAACTCAGGGCTGTGTGCTTGCTAGGCAGGTGCTCTCCTACTTGAGCTATTCCACCAGCTTCCTTTGCTTTTCTATATCAGTTTTAGAATTAGTTTGTCAATTGGTTTTATTGACCTTGTACCCTGCAGCCTTACTAAAGTTACTACTTCCAGTAACTTTGTAGTTGGAACCTGCAGTATGATAAACATTGCATAGGAATGATGAGAGAAGACATCCTTCACTATTTGTTGATCTTAGAGGTGACAGTATGCAGTTTTTCAGCTCCTAGGTATGTTAGCTGTGGATTTTTGTAGGTGCCTTTTACCAAATTGAGGAAATTACTGTGTATTGCTAGTTTCCCAAGACTTTAAATAATGAATTGGATTTTGTCAAATGCTTTTCCTACATCTGTAAAATAGTACTGTGTCTTTTCTTTCTTAGTCTAGTCTAATGGTGACATACTGATTAATTTATGAATGTTGAGCCAGTGTTTAACTCATGGGACAAACTTCACTAGGTTGTGATGTATTGCTATTTTCAAGTTTTGCTATATTTGCTTGCTAATATTTTGCTGAGGATATTTGTGTCTTCATTCATGGGGGATATGGATTTCAGTTTTCTTTTTTTTTACTGTCTTTGTTCAGTTTTGATATTAGCATAATTATGGTTTCATAAAATGAAAAGGGAAGTGCTCCTCCTCTTGTATTTTCTAAAAGACAGTTTGGTATTCCTTCTTCCTTAAATGTTTGGTAGAATTCCCCATTGAAACCATCTGGGAAGGGCTATTTTGTGGCAAAGTTATTTATCATGAATTCCAGTTCTTTAGTGGATACAGGGGCATTTATGAATGACCTTCAGTAGTTTGTGTCTCTCAAGGACACAAGCTACTTTATTTCAGTTGAGTACTTGAATTTATTGGCATTAAGTTAGTCATGATATTCCTTTATTATCCTTTCCCCTTATCAGGATTTGCATTCACTGTACTGTAATTTATGTCACCTGTTTTTTTATGCCGATCACTGTGGTTTTATCAGTTTTTCTGATATTTTCTCAGGCTTTGCTTTCATTCATTTCTATTACTTTTTTTCTGCTATTGATTTTATTGATTTATCTTTTTAATTTTTTTCCTTCCTTATGATACTTTGGACTTAATTTTATCCATATTTATTTATTTTCTTTTTAAATATTTTATTATTTTTTATTTTATTGAGTCTTGAAATTTGGCTACAAGGCTCCAGACCTAGGGAAGCAGTGTCTGGGGGACTCAGGACTCATGGATCAAGGTAGAGTTTCAGGGCTGATTGCCATGCTCCCACCCA